TTTCATATGCTTAATTGCCATCCATATATCTTCTTTGATGAAGTGTTCGAATCTTTTGCCAATCAATCTTTAATTGGATTGTTTGCTTTCTTATTATTGAGTTTTGAAAGTTGTAGATGTCCTTCCAGGGGGCTTAGTTTGTTGATATTGTTGGGAGCCAGTAGTGACTGGCTGTGTTGGCCTTGGTGGGAGATCCCCGCACAGTCCCCCTCTGTCCCACCGTGAACGCCTAGTTCTGAGTCTTTGAGCCGGTGCAGGGTGGGGTGGGGTGGGGCGCTGAGGGCGGAGGCTGGCTGCATTCGCAGAGTGCATCGTCTTGTATTGCTGATGTTCAAAGCCTCCGCAGGAGCCGGCCTCTGGAGAACATCCTCAGGGGACCCACAGTACTCTCTGGTTTTGCCCCTGTTCTGAGGGCTGCATTCACCCATGCCATTCCCAAAACTCTTCCTTAGTCCTCCAGACTAACTCTGTCCAAGAAGACGACCACCTGGCTGGTGCCTTAGCGGCTGCCCACAAAGTGGTGTCCACCTGTTCCTCAGCCCTGTCTCCTTCCAGGAGAGGGGGTGTATCTCCTGAGGCTGCTGTAACAATGACCACAAACCTGGTGGCTTGAGACAACGGAAATTTGTTCTGGAGGCCACAGTCAAATCAAGGGGTCCATAGGGCTGTGCTCCCTGCAGAAGCTCTGGGAGAGAATCTGCCCCACGCCTCTTCCAGCTTCTGCTGGTTGCCAGCTTCCTGGGCTGTGGCCACGTCATTCCCGTCTCTGCCCCTGTGGTCAAATTGCCTTCTCTTTTTTGTCCATCTTCTCCTTTGTGTCTCTTGGAAGGACACTGGTCATTGGATTTAGGACCCTCCCAGATAATCCTGTGGGATCTCATTATCTCAAAATCCTCAGCTTAGTCGTATCTGCACACGGTGGCATTCACAGCTTCTGGGCATTAGCATGAGGATCTTCTGGGGGCAGATAGTTATAGCTCTCGAAGTTCTACCTTCCGTGAAGATTGCCCTTCCCTTCTGTCCTCAGGGCCATCCTGTGTGGGAGTGTCATGCCACAGCCGTCCCCTGCCACCTGGTGCCGTCGGAACTCTCTCCAGAGCAGGCAGGGGAAGGGATGCCTGGGTTTCCGGGTAAGACAGAAGGTCCTACTTCCCCCTAGGACTCACGCATCGGGGTCTCACCCCTACATAGGAAGGAGGCTAGGATGCCCGTCAGCCAAAAACAAACAAACAATGTGACAAATATCGGCTAGAGACGGGAGTCACCACCCTGGCCTCTTTCAGAGTCATGGATAGCGATTACTTTCTACAGCTCCCTGGGGATGCAACTGTTCTCGATTTATTATTTGGAGAGTGAGGGGGAGCACAGGGGGCTTCGGCTTGGCCCTTCCTAGCATATTAGCGTCTAGCTGAAGGGTTGGGGAGCCAAGGTGAGAGTCCACCAGCTCCTAAGGAGATCTGGTCTAACTGTCAGGAACAGGGGATGGGGTCGAGGTCTTGCAGTTCCATACTCTCCCCCTCCCTGAATCTTATTTTGATGGCCTCATGCCCTGTAACAGCAAGCCATAACAGATTCTTTAAGCCATGGCACATAAAGGTCTTGAATTTTATTTTATTCCTTGAGTCAATAATCTAGATATTTGAGGTTATCTTGCTTGACCTTATTCAGTGCCGTATAAGCAGCTGCCCACTGTGTGTTTCTGATTTCTTCATTCCCTTTAAATCTGGCTATGGCCAAAGCCGCTCAGTTCCCCAGCACTTGACCCTCAGAGGGCACATGGTCCCTGGTGTTCACAGCTGATAATTTTATAGGCTGTACCTCTATGTACCACAGGCTGCTGTTTTCCCAATTCCGAACATAAAGGGGAATCTCAGAGCCTTGCACCTGAAGCCTGGGCCTGAAACCCCCTTTCTGGTGCCAACGTTTGGATCAGTTAGGGCTCTTTGGTGCAACAGCCAAAACCTACTCTGGCTAATGAAAGCAAAAGGGGAAGAAATGGAAGGATGCTAGGTGGATCACAGAGCTGAGAAAGGTACAGGCCGACCTGTCTTAGGCGGGGCAGGGTTCAGGGTGGCTCTGAAGCTCTGGAGAGCAGGAGCCCATGGATTGTTCTTGGAGATGCTGCCATGGCCTGACTAAGCAACAATGTTTTTTCCTCATGTCAATCCATCACCAGGGGCCAGCCCCATGGCCGAGTGGTTAAGCTCTCATGTTCCGCTTCGTGGCCCAGGGTTTTGCTGCTTCAGATCCTGGGCGCGACATGGCACCGCTCATCAGGCCATGCTGAGGCGGCGTCCCACATAGCACAAGTAGAAAGACCTGCAACTAGAATATACAACTATGTACTGGGGGGATTTGGGGAGAAGAAGAAGAAGAAAGAAAAAAGATTGGCAACAGATGTTAGCTCAGGTGTTGATCTTTAAAAAAACAAAAAACTCCACCACCAGTTCAGATTCCCCAGGGGGAAACTGATGACATAGCTTGGGTCACCCACCCAGCCCCGTCTCCAGGGTCTGCATGCCCTGTGATCGGCTGTCCCACCAGAACCTCAGGAAGCAGGAGAGGCTGCTCTGAGAGGCAGGGGGAGTTGTGCTGGGCAGGCCACACAAAGGGTGTCCATCAGCCCCTAAGAGCTTGGCCCCAGCCGAGGGCCTTCTCTGAATGGGGGACGATATAGTCCGGTTCTGGGGAAGCTCCCAGTCTGATGGTGGAGACACAGGCTGTGCCGTGATGAACTTCCAGTCTGATGGCAAAGACTGGTCACAAAACCAAAGATTTAAGGGAAACAGGAAATGTAGGTATGGCACAAGTGTGTTCAAGGCAGGGTTCTTTTTAATAGTGAAAACCCAGAAACTGCCAAAACACCCTAAAAAGGGGAAATGATTAAACAATTATGGTTTGTGCATACTCTGCATCATTACACAAGCATTAAAATCATGTTTTTGAAAAAATAGTAATATGAGTGGCCTGCCCTGCGGCATAGTGGTTAAGTTCAGGGTGCTCTGCTTTCACCGCCCAGGTTCAGTTCCTGGACGCGGACCTACACCGCTCATTGGCGGTCATGCTGTTTTGGTGGCGACCCACGTACAAAATATAGGAAGATGGGCACAGATGTTAGCTCAGGGCGAATCTTCCTCAAGCAAAAAGAGGAATATTACCAACAGAAGTTGGCTCAGGTTGAATCTTCCTCACCAAAAAAAAAAAAAAAACCAAAAAAACAACACCAAAAAACAACAGTAATATGAGAAAATACTAATGGTATAACACTAAGTGAAAAAAATTGGATACTAAATTTGCATATATTATTATTCAACTGTGGAAAGCAGTATGTGCAGAAAGAGGGAAATACACCAACATGTTAACAGAGGTAACGATAATAATAACAAAGGCTTTTGAGCACTTTTTTACGTGAGGCCCTGAGCTAACTCTTATGTGATAGAATTATTATCCTCCCCCTTTTATAGCTGAAGAAACTGAGGCTCAGGAGATTGAGATCCATGGATGGTCACTCAGCTAATAAGCGGCTGACTCAGATCAAGATCTGTCTAAAGCTGAAGTCTGTGGTTTTAAGATGATCTTGTCTCCTCTTAGCTCCCAATGTTGGGGTTATGAGTGATTTTTATTCTTTTAGGTAATTTTCCTATTTCTACACTAACCATTAATTTACCTATAAAATCAGAAGAAACATATATTTTGAAAAAGAGGGGGGAAAAAAAGAAAAGAAATCTGCAACAAAAACATATAAACAAGAGGAGAAAGACATTGTATTGAACAAAAGGCATATGTTAAGATCTGAAATGGGGGGCCAACCCAGTGGCTCAGCGGTTTGGTGTGCATGTTCCGTTTTGGCGGCCCGGGGTTCGCCGGTTCAGAACCTGGTTGCAGACATGGCACAGCTTGGCAAGCCGTGCTGTGGTAGGGGTCCCACATATAAAGTAGAGGAAGATGGGTGGGGGTGTTAGCTCAGGGCCAGTCTTCCTCAGCAAAAAGAGGAGGATTGGCAGTAACTAGTTAGCTCAGGGCTAATCTTCCTCAAAAAAAAAAAAAAAAGGTCTGAAATGGCTCATAAGGAACGTTCTTTGCTGTACTTGATAGTTGCTTCAGTTATCACCGTCTGTGTTAGAAACATATACACACATGTACATGTATGTGAATATCTCAGTCTTTGAGGGCAGGGACCCTGTCCTTTTTCTCTCTGGTTTTTGCTTAGGGAAGATATCCTCCAACACAGGGCTTAGCACATAGCAGGCTCTTCCTAATTGTTGATTGAATGATAGGGACGAGAAACCAGTGACCGGAAGACACAATGAGAAAAGGCTTTGCTGGCTTCCGGGGGATTGGAGGTTCCGGGAGGGCGACTAGGGAGCGTGGGAGGGGTGGCGTGGGGAGGGGAGGGGAGGGGAGGGAAGGGGAGGGGTGGGCTGGGCCCGGGGCTCAGGAAGCGGTTTTGGTTTTGCGGCAGGAGCTGAGCGGGAGGAATGCGACAGCCGCAGCCCCTCCTTTCCAGTTCGCGTCCTCCCGGCTCAGGAGGGTGGAGGGGGGTCTCGGTCCCTTGGCGGGCGTGTGCGGTGGTGGGTCGGCGGCTCTCCGCGCTCCTCCTCCCCGAGTCCCGGGGCGCTGGCCGCGGTGCTGAAGCCGCGCTCTCCGGGAGGGAGGGAGGTAGGAGGGGCCGGGCCGGGCGAACGGGGCGGCGCTCTTTGGAGCTCTGAGCCGGAAAGAGGGGAGGACCGGGCGGCGCCAGCAGGCTTGAGACCCTGGCGGGCTTGAGAGGAGGCCGGAGACTGGAGACAGCCCTGCTAGAGCGGACACAGGCACCTGGACAAGCTTCCCCTGAAGAAGCCAAGGTCGTCCTCCTTGTCCTGTTAACACTCTTTCTTCTACCTTGGAGGGACCCTCACCTTGTGCCCTGACCTCAGCCTCCTCCTCAAACCTGGCTGAGGAGAGACCTACTTCTGGACCTCGATCCATCCGCAGAGCCACTGACTTCCAGCCCACAGGCCCCCAGCCCTGGGCTGTGCGCCCTCACCATGGTGAAGTTGCTGCCTGCCCAGGAGGCAGCCAAGATCTACCATACCAACTATGTGCGGAACTCGAGGGCCGTGGGTGTGATGTGGGGCACGCTCACCATCTGCTTCTCTGTGCTGGTCATGGCCCTCTTCATCCAGCCCTACTGGATCGGTGACAGCGTCAACACACCCCAGGCAGGCTACTTCGGCCTTTTCTCCTACTGTGTGGGCAACGTGCTGTCCTCCGAGCTCATCTGCAAGGGTGGCCCGCTGGACTTCTCCTCCATCCCCTCTAGAGCCTTCAAGACTGCCATGTTCTTTGTGGCCTTGGCCATGTTCCTCATCATTGGCTCCATCATCTGCTTCAGCCTGTTCTTTGTCTGCAACACGGCCACCGTCTACAAGATCTGCGCATGGATGCAGCTGGCTGCGGGTGAGCAGGGATAGTGGGAGGGCAGGCAGGGGCCCACCTCAGGCCACAGGGGCAGCTGCACCATCCCACCCTCTGAGGAGGCCCTGGGTCTCCTCCTCAGCTGTCCTCCTTTAGCCCAGCCCTACTCAAAGCTCCAAAGAATTCTTCTGAGGAGTAGATAATCTTAGAATGGCTGAGGCTGAAAGGACCTTACAGATCAAATTATTCAACCCCCTTATCTTGCAGATTAGGAACTGAGGTCCAGAGAGGGAAAGTGACTTGTCCAGGAGAACAAAGCTCACTGGTAGAAGAAACCTGGTGTCCTAACTCCCAGGCCACCACATCAGGGGTTGTTGCTGCTCTGGGAGCAAGAGAGAAGGAAGCTCCCATTGTCAGCCATGTGGGAATAGGACCCAACCCTAGGGCAAAATAGTGATGCCAGTCAAGCACATTCTTGATGTTCCTCTCTCCTGCTTCTAGACGTTTGTTCTGTCTCCTTTATGGATCCCCAGATCTCTGCCATGACCTCCTTCCACCCCTAACTGCTCTCAGGGAAGAGTCTAAGATCAGTCATTGATTTGGAGAATTATGCTGGGTGTGACCTCTCCCATAGAACCTGCATTTAAGTTCCCTGTTTCATTGTGGAGTAAAAGTCTTTGTTCCCTAATTGTAGGATATTCCATACTTGAGACAGCAAATGGGAATGCTATTTTGTGATGGGGCAGGGGTGTGTCTAGGGTTTTTTACAACTGTAGAGGGTAGGTAGCCACTTGTGGTGGTGCCTAGAGGCAAGGCTTTACCTGAGCCTCTTCCCTGCCCCTAGCCCAGGCTGGCCTGTCAGTCCTTGAGCCAGCTGATCCTACTCCCCTTTAGAGCCCAGGAAGAGATTTCCTAAGACCTTGTCTCACAACCCTTGGTCCCTCTGCACCCCAAGGACTGCACACAGACTCTCCATACTGGGGAGGTGTCCAGGAGCAATAGGAACCACAAACTAGAATGAAACCATCTTGACATCATTGGTTAGAATGAGAAGTGGTGTTATCCTTAACAGGCGGAATAACACAGGGATCAGAATCCCAGACAACCAACCGAATGCATAGACTCAAGACTCTGTCAGAGTTGGAGGGGTATCTAGTCTAGTCACTATTACTCAGTCCAGCGGTCAGCTGATCATACACAGCCTTGAACAGCGACCATTTCAGATTTTTTTCTTTTAAACTCACTTTTCAGAAACAGTGTTGCCTGTAAGAAAGACATTGTACTTTGAAGTCAGACCTGAGTTCCACTGTAACACTTACCAGCTGTGGGCCTCCGTCTCTGAGCCTGCTTCCTCATCTATGAGATGGGATTCCATATGCCTCCCTTGCAGAGATATGGTTAAGATTACACGTGAGCATAGTTACACAGCACCGGATGCCTGAAATAGCCATTATCCTAGAGAGCTAGGCCCCCTCACCTAACTATAGATGAGGAATCTGGCTCTGAGACAGAGGATAAGACTTGGCCAAGGCTGTAGCGGATCTAAGGACCTAAGAGAATTAAGGCAGTGGGTTCCCAGAAACTGGGTGTATTCCGAAGAGATTTTTATTGAGCCACACATTTATATAAGTATATAAGTATTACATGAAATACTTTTTCCTAAGTATTTGCAAAGTACCTTCACATATATCATCTGGAGGAGCCTCATCACGGCCCAGTGAGGTGGGTATTCCTTCCATTTTACAGATAAGGCTTCTAGTGGCTAACTTGTCTTTGAGCACACAGGTGGTGAAGGACAGAACCTCTGATTCCAAATCTGGTACCCAAGCCACTCACCTGACTCCAGAATTGCCTCCCAAATGCCCCCACCATCTCCCCCTCCTCTGTAGCCCCTCTGTGAAGAGGGAGAAGCTGGGGCAGGATGAGGCAAGTCTTGGTGGGCAGTGGGGAGAAAGGGGGGGGGGATGAAGATTCAGCAGTTTTGTGACCAAGAGGAGTTGAATGGACCCTGCCAGCTGGTCTCCATATCAGAGCTATGAGATGCTGGAAACACAACCATCCCTCTCTCCTTCTCCACACTGTCCCCCTCCCCTACCCTCCCACAACACGAGCCGTTTGCTGGACAGGCAGTGCTGAGAGGCCTGGGTGGGGGAGGGATCACCAGGCCATCTGGGTCAGACCCTGTCTGGGTCTTGAAGCTAGAGACACTGATAGCAGAGGTGGCCAGGTGCCATTCCATGAAAGATTTATGTTGGGGAGAGTGAAGGTGGTGTCATATTCCATTCTTTGGTGCTGGGGAAGGGAAGATGAACCAAAGGGAGGAATGGAAGGTGCACCCCGCAGCCAGCAGCTGGGAGATGCATCCATTTGAAGAGGCTTAAACCAGTTAGCTTAACCTTGCTGGGAAGCCTGGGACCAGGGAAGCGAGTAAGAGAAGGGAAAGAGAACTGATGACTGGGGTGGTGTGGGGCTGTAGCTTAACAATATTAATTGAGCTTCTGGATGCCACATGTAGGCTGAGTGTGGTCCCAGCTCCTAGAAACACAGATAGGGCAAATTGCTTGTCTCTCTGAGTCTTGGTAACCACGTCTGTAGATTGTAGCAACACTACCCCCTGTCACAGGGTCCTTGCAAGAATGGGATGAGATAATGCATGTAAGACACCTTGGACAGTACCTGACACACGGTGGGTACTCAGTAAATGTGAAAAACACAAAAAGCAACTTTATCCGTCAGGATGGGTGAGGTGATGCCACAGTAACAAACAACTCCCAAATCTTGGTGGCTTAACACAAAGGTTTACTTCTTGCTCGTGGTACCTGCTCACTGAGGATCATTTGGGGCCTCTGCTCACACTGTTTTCTTCTGGAACCCAGGCTGATGGAGCATCAGCTGTTGTCTGCCTGTCATCACTGCAGAGGGAAAGGGAGATCTGGATGCTGTCCCACCAGCAGTTCAACGCTCTGGCCTGGAAATGCTCATGACATTTCTGCTCACATTTTATTGGCCAGAGGAAGTCTTATGGCCTTGCCTAACTTCAAGGGACAGGGGCAAGGGACGATGTACCTGGAATATTTGTAAACAGCTCTAATGACATCCACGCCCACTGAGGTTGCATCCATCTGACTTCAATGCCAATAATAATAGCAACAACTAACATTAATTGGCCACTTCCAAGTACCAGACACTGCAGTAAGCGTTCTCTACGCATGATCCCACTTAATCCCCATAACCCTGCTATGAGTCAGGCATTATAATTCCTCTTTTACAGATGAGAGAATGGAAGTCAGAAAGGGTAAGTAAACTTGCCTGAGAATATTATGCTGGCTTCTACTTAGAACCTGAGATGCCACAAATGGGGTTGACCCGCCCTGTGCCCAGGTGGGGGGCTCACAGAGGGCTGTGGCACCCAGAGTAACAACCTGTTTCCAAGTCAGAGGCCCTGCTCTTTTCTGGAGCCTCCAGAGAGAGAGGCTATAGAAGGGGAAGGGAGCCCAAGGGAGGAGCCGCGGGGAGAATGGAAAGCCGGGAAGGGCAGCCCCTGTCCACAGTCACCTATGTTCTGAGCATTTGCCAGGCTCCCAAGGGCTGGTCTCATACCTCATGGGGAAGGCCACAGGCTTTACCAAGAATTCTGGGAGGCTTCCCCCTCCTCCATCTTAAGTATCTTCCTGAAGTCCTTTCAGTTTGTCACTAAGTCTGAAATGTCGCACTGAAATACATTCAGCTCTTTGAAGAGATGTGACAGTCTGGCAATAGGGGGAATTAACTTTGAAGTCAAGAAAATCAGGAGCTGTGAGTTCATGTCTCGGCTCTGCCATCGCTGGATGTCTGAGTCACTTGGTTTCTCTGAGACCTCAGTTTTCTTATCTGTAGAACGGGATATTAAGATATGGCCTACTTCACAGAAGTGTTGTCAGGATCAAGAGAAAAATGGTACATGAAGTATTTTGTGATCTAGAAAAGAACTATATAAATGAGCGCTCTTATAAAAAATCAAAGGAGGGTTGGTATTTCGGTGGGGAGGTGGGACCCTGATCTTCACTGTGCATTTGCTTGATCTGCTGACCTTCCTTTTGAGAACAAGCTGAGCCCAAGGCAGGTAACTTGGGGTCCTGTGAGGTGCTTCTCTGAGGGGCTCCTGGTAGGGCACAGCCTTGGGACTAAAGAGCCTGTGGAAGGAGGGCCAGGGGTGGAAAGTGGCACAGATAAGAGAAGGCACCCGCTACCTGCATGGTGGTTGTGCTTGGGGTCGCCCCAACCACATCCCAGGATTATGTCACCTGTCTGTGCAGCTAAGGTGGGCTGGTGGGAGGGTATGGGAGAAGTTGGGGGAACGTGGGAAAAGTGGAATTTTTAGCTGTAAATACTAAGTCGATGAAGGTACAGGATGGAGTAACAGTAGCCAGCAGTCATGACGTGCCAAGTCTGTGCCCGGCACTGTTCAGAGCACTTTGTCAACAGCAACTCATTTGAACCTGTCTGCAACCCGACAGGCAGCTGCTATTGTTATCCCCTTTTATGAGATGGGGAAACTGAGGCAAAAAAGGCTTAAGTAGCTTGCTCACTGTGTGCTCACTGAGTCACGCAGCTAGTTAGTGAAGAGCTGGGCTTGGAATCCAGGCAGCTTGCTCTAGTGTCTCCCAGCTTTTCCTATGGAGAGAATCATCTGGAAGACTGCATTAAAAATCAGGGGTTCCTGAGCCCCACCCTGGCCTCGGAATCGGCATTCTAAATCAATATTTCAGGGATGTGTGGGCAACTGCACTGTGCAGTACTGGGTAAGGGTGAGGAGGCCTGTTGGCTTGAATGGAAGGTTCGTGAAGGAAGCAGCCAGACAAGGGGCTGGAAAACTTCTTGTATGTGTCGAATCTAAGATACCTGAGTTGTAGCACACACCATTGTTGTGTGTGCTGTAAAAGGAAAAATACTTTTAATCCACCTGTGGCCTGAAGCTCTCTCCCCCGTGCCTCTCAAGGCCGTTAACACAAGGAGGGAGGTGACAAGATGACAGCAGCGCTAGGCGGGAGGTAGCAGGCTGAGCGCCCCCTCCTCCCCCAGCCACAGGCCTGATGATTGGCTGCCTCGTCTACCCTGATGGATGGGACTCCAGCGAGGTGCGGCGCATGTGCGGGGAGCAGACGGGCAAGTACACGCTGGGCCAGTGCACCATCCGCTGGGCCTTCATGCTGGCCATCCTGAGCATCGGGGACGCCCTCATTCTCTCCTTCCTGGCCTTCGTGCTGGGCTACCGGCAGGACAAGCTCCTCCCTGACGACTACAAGGCGGACGGAAAAGGTAACTCGCCCTCCCCCAGGGAGGTGGGGCTTCCTCTCAGCCGGTCACCCAAGGATTGGCCTCCGGCCAGGGGGTGGGGACATGAAGACCAATCAGACACAGCCCTTGTCCCAGAGGCCAAAGGCCAGTGGAGGGAGGGTTGCAAGCTGGCCAGAGATGAGGCGATGAGAGACCTGTGTATCAAGAAGCTGCAATGATGGTGTCCTCCTGCACCGCACCCCGCCCCCCTCTGCCCCCGGGCCCCCGTCTCCCCCAGGGTCTAGGGGAGAGAGTCCTGATTCAGCCTGGAGAGCTAGGCGTGGCCTCTGGGTGTTGAGCACTGGGAGTTTGCTGGGTGGAGAGGGACAGGAGAGCAGGGGGATGAGCCGTTGGGGCAGGAGGAGAAAGGCAGCTTAGGGTGCAGACGTGACAGCTCCTGGAGTGCAGATGGTGGGCGCCTGAGCTCCCTTGGGTTAGGGTAGCCTCGGGGTTCTGCGTTCTGGATGTGTCCATCCTGTTTCAATTTCCTCTCGTCCAAATCCTGCCCCCAGTCATAAAAGTCACTGTGGCTGACTCTGGAGACCCAGGCAGACCCTTCTGACTGTGTCCTGTTGACCTCCCTTCCTCCCAGGGTACTTTCTGCTCCTGTCTCTCATTAGGATCTTTCCTGTCTGTGTTGAGGGGCTAACTTTTTCAGTGCATCAATTTCATCTCCTAGTCACAGGACCAGGCCTGTCTCACACCCTCGTGAATCCCAAAATGCCTACTCCCAGCAGGTGCCACTATGAGGGGCCTGCTGCACCTCAGAGACCTCTCTAGTCTCCTTTCCCCATAAGTGTCTTCATATCACCCTGTTGACCTGAACTGGAAGAAACAGCCAAACTCCTTTGTCCCCTGTGACCAAGGACCCACCCCAGTTGAGGAACTTGTCCCCTAAGACCAAGGACCAGAGGAGGAACTGGAAGCCTGGAAGGGAGACCCGCCCACAGGTACACAGAAAGGTGGTGGCAAAGGGGAGCCCAGAACTCAGATTTTCTCTGGCTCAGCCCAGGGCCCCCTTCTCCAGAGGGAATCAAAAACGTCTCATCCTTCTCTGGAGGTGGAAGGAAGTTTTGTGGTTAAAGATGGAAACCAAGTTACTAGAATGAGCTGGGCCAAGGAGGAGAGAAGAGACAGACATCTTTCCATTGCAGATTCCTGTAGCTACTGGGTCCTGGGAACGCTTAGGGTCTGGGTCCCTTGAGGATTCCACAAAGGAAGGGAAATGGAACTAGTATTTACTGGGCCTCTTCCATGTGCTGGAGTGATGTAAACTTTGTTCATAGGGGCCTTTTTTTTGTTTTTTGCTGAGGAAGATTGTCCCTAAGGTAACATCTGTGCCAATCTTCCTCTATTTTGTATGTGGGTCACTGCCACAGCCTGGCTGCTGACAAGTGGTGTATGTCCACTCCTGGGAACCAAACCCAGGCCGCAGAAGCAGAGGATGCCAAACTTAACCATTTGGCCACAGGTCTGGCACCCAACTGATTTTCAACAAGGGTGCCAAGGCCATTCAATGAAGGAAAGAATAGTCTTTTCATAAATGGTGCTGGAACAACCAGATATCTATATGCAGAAGGATGAAGTTGGACCACCTACCCCACATCATATACAAAATTAACTCAAAATGGATGAAAGACCTAAATGTAAAATATAAAATTACAAAACTTTCAGAAGAAGAGTTAGGTGTAAATCTTTGTGACTTTGGATTAGGCAATGGTTTCTTAAATATGACACCTAATTTATAAGCATCCAAAGAAAATAATAAATAGGATTTCATCAAAATTGAAAACTTTTGTGTTTCAAAGGACTCCATCAAGAAAGTGAAAAGACAACCTACAGATTGGGAGAAAATATCTGCAAATCATAATCATAATTCTAGTATCCAGAATATATTAGGAACTCCTACAACTCAACAATAAAAATACAAAATAACTCAATTTTTAAAACGGGCAAAGGATTTGAATAGACATTTCTCCAAAGAAGATATACAAAGGGCCAACAAGCACAGAAGAGATACTCCACATCATTAGTCATTAGGAAAATCCAAATCAAAGCCACAATGAGATATCACTTCACACTCACTAGGATGGCTGTAATAAAAAAGATGAGCGATAGTAAGCATTGGTGAGCATGTGGAGAAACTGGAACCCTCATACGCTGCTAGTGAAAATGTAAAATTGTGCTGTTGCGGTGGAAAACAGAATGGCATTTCCTCAGACTGTTAAATATAGTTTCCATGTGACCCAGCAATTCCACTCCTCGGTACGTATGCAAGAACATTGAAAACATACGTTCACACAAACACTTGCAGACAGATGTTCATAGCAGCATAATAGCCAAAAAGTGGAAACACCCCAAATGTGCATCAGCTGATGAACAGATATACAAAATGTGTATATCCATACAGTGGAATATTATTCAGCCATAAAAAAGGAATGAAATAGTGATAATTGCTACCATGTGGATGAACCTTGAAAACATCATGTTAAGTGAAAGAAGCCAGGCACAAAAGACCATATATTGTACGATCCCATTTATATAAAATGTTCAGAATAGGCAAATCAAGAGAGAGAGAAAGTAGATTTTGGTAGCTGCCTGGGGCTGGGAGGAGGGGGGGAATTGGGAGTGATTGCTAATGGGCACAGGGTGTCTCTTTGGGCTGATGAAAATACTCTACAATTAGATAGCAGTAATGGTTGCACAACCAAGTGAATATACTAAAAACCACTGAGTTATATGCTTTAAACGAGTAAATTTTATGTTAGTGAGTTGTATCTCAATAAAATCAAAAGCTTGTGCTGAGGATTAGATAGTGTAATAAAGCATTGACAAATCCCTGCATATTATGGGTGACTAATAAATATTAGTTCTCTCCCCCTTCTGCCTTTCCAGTATCTCGGTTTTTTCCATCCTCCCTCTGCCCAGCCCCTAACGGCTGCTGTGCTCCAGTTGCCCGCCGACCTCTTTGGCCACTGCGGGTGCAGCGGTGAGGAAAGAGGTCTGAACTGGGCCTTGTGGCCTGGTAAGGGAGACGCTCATGCCGCGTGGAATTACATGCTCATAAACCTCAGGAGCAGAAGGGCAAGCTTTCTGGAGAGTGGATAAGAGGAGTTTGATCTCGTTAGGAGAGGAAGTAGTGTGCAGGGCATCATCCCGAAAACAAGGCTCGGTTGTAAACAAACGCTGTTCTCTCTCTTTTGCATCGCAGAGGAAGTCTGAGGCGGCGGAGGGGGCGGTGAGTAACCCACCGGAGGGTGGTCTGGGCCTGTGGAGGGGCTGCGGCCGCTCTGCTGCCTTATCCAGGCGGAAGGACTCGGGGGCTGCGAGCGGGCGCGCGGGGCAGAGGCCGGCTGTGTCGGAGACCTGCGCGCAGGGGCCAGCGGGAGCCCTTTAGTTGTGCTTGTGTCTTGAGAAGTGGAAAGAGAACAGGGAGGGAAGAAATCATTTCACACGGTCAGGCGGTTTCATGAACTCATCTTTTTCGTGGAGCCTGGCAAACAAGAACAGACTGTTTTTAGAAGTCGTCATGGTGATTTGGACCCTGATTTTCAGAAAGAGTTTTAAGTGATTTGTAAGAAACATACTAGAAAACCTAATAAAATAGAAAATGAAAGTCACGGGGGGGGGAGGGGGAACAAATATTCCAGAAAGCTAGGCTAACAGAATTACTGTACTATTAAATTTAGCTCTACGCTTCCTCATAGCTGAGGCAAAAAGAAAAACACGATTTTACCAGTTTTAATGTCTAGTGGAAAAGGAAGCACAACATAGTAATTTCCTTATGGTCTTTTGAGTTTCCAAAATGTAATTTAACATTAACATTGTCCCCCTACGTTTATTAGATGATTCTCACAATTTAATATGCATACAGCTGCCTGGCAATCTCGGAAAAATGCAGATGCTTATTCAGTTGGAGTTGGGGCCACAGACGCTTGTGTCTAAGCAGCTGCCCGGTGATGGGTGCTGGAGTAGCGGCCCTGCATTGAGTGGCAAACTGAGTCGAAAGATTTTCCTCATGTTTTTGCAATGTTCATTATTAAAGTTTTTAAAAGCCGCAAACTCCACAGCATTGGTATGCTGTTTAATTGCTAAACCAGACCTTGGTTATTGGCCCTTTGGGGCTGCTATCGTAGATAATAACTTTTCGCTTCTCTTGAGAAATTCTGGAGTGGAATTACTGAACCAAAGGTAACTACACCTCTATGTCTGCTTTTTTCTTTTTCTTTTTTTGCACTATATTTTGTTTACATTTTAAAAGACATCTGAGTTTTTACTTGAGGGATCTTGAATACTATCTTCTACACTAATGAGGAAGTTTGCATGTCTGGGGAGCGCTGACTCAAAATGTGAGCATACATGGGGAAGTGTTTTGTTTTTATTGGCTTTAAAAAATGTCAAGTTTTATAATCTTGCAATCTTTTTTTTTTTTTTTAACACCACAGGTCGTCTGTTTCCCTGACAATGGGAACTTAGGGAATCGAATTCTTCAGAGTAAAAACTTGTCCCCCCAAGCTTCCCGTCCTGGCTACTCTAGGCCTGACGTCCTGAAGCCTCTCACAGGATGGGAACCTGACAGGCTCCTGAGACAAGCCCTCCTACTGTGTATAGGAAACTCTTTCAGGTGAAGCAGAACTGGAACGATCGCATCGAAGAGACATGGGTGGTCCTCTCCTGACTGGGGCCCAAGTTCTCGTCCTATCCCTTCACACCAGCAAATTCCTCTATGCTCTGGAGGCCTCTCCTCTGTAAAGTGAGAGGGCTCAATGAGTCCATGTCTAGGGGCCTCCCAGGTCTGAGCCTCTGGCAGCCTGATTAACTGAGGATATGCTTGTTTGAAGGCACACCAGAAACTGCCACCCAGCTCGGACGGGGGCCTGAAGAGGTGGCTGCAAGTGCGCTGGATCACTTCAGGCTGAGGTCCAGGGGATCCTCTGCTTTTCCTTTCTCACATTTCGTTTTTTTATGGATGCTCAGAGGTGGGTAAGGAGTGGAGAGGCCGCCAGAACCCCAATCCATCAGGAAGTCTTATAAAGACTGGGTGAACATAGGATCTAAAAACTTAAGACTAAATTGATTTTTTCCCTTTGGAACCCCAAATCCCATTTCTTCATAGTGCCCACACTGACCCAGTCAGAACTGGCTACCAGCTTCAGAAATTTGTCACTTGTGTCCAAGTGATTTGTTATAGTAATAGATGACTTTTTTGTAAAAAACTTTGGATTTGGCACAGTAAATGGTGACTCTTTTGCCAGCCTCCAGAGGGGAGCTCAATTTAGGTTAACATCTCATTGTAGCAAATGCCAAGATGAAGATAGGTTCTTCAGGCTGTGTTTTGCCTGGGAGATGGTGCATGGAAACCAGATTTCGTTATCTGTAGTGACTGATTCTGAAGAACAGGTGTTTTTTCTCGTCATTGTCCATTTAGCTATTCAGTAAAGAGAAAATGTGGGTGCTGACTCTCACAGGACGGGGTAGATGCTGAACAAAACTGATGGATCTTGTTGCTGCTTGATTAAGCAGCAGTGACAAGGGAAACAGTAGGTGTCGTATTCCTGGGCTGTAGGGCATGCCTTTCAATCAATGCACTCTGACAACCTGTCCATCAGTGCAGGGCTTCTTCTCCAGGTCAGATGGCCTGGGAATGAGGATCCAGCATTGTCCCAGTTGTTGGCAATGAGAACTATCAGAATGAGACCTAAGAACGATCATGTAATTTTCTTGTGCTGATAAAATTATTTTAGAGCCAGGCACCTACTTCATGCAAGCTTGAAGAACAGAAGTTGACAAGTCCTGTAGCTTAGTGACTTCTGGCTATATTTGTTCATTTGTTTCTCATAATCTTACTTTCTATTAGAGGCAAAGGAAAAATTTCTAAAAGCCTCTCTACCTTCAAAGTATTTCTCACTGAAATGGCAACTCTGGTGGTCCACAGAAGCTTCTGGGGGGCTTAAGGTCCATCTGCCAACAGCTCGCATCTTGCTCTTGCCAGGAACAGCGAGTTTCACCAAAGCAGGAGTCGGTGTTTACCTGTGACCAGTGCTGGGCATGGATCTGCAAATCTGTTTATCATCATAGGACCCAACGTTTCACCTTTTGCTCTATCTCCGAGGAAACTCAGAATTCAAGCTCTTCAGTAATAATAATGATTTTGGTTGATACCTGGTAACTGCTTATCAGCTCTTTTCAAGTGGCTTTACCTTTAAATAAATTTTTAAAGGCACCTTGAATCTCATTTTTGAAAGTATATAGAAAATCAATAAAATCAGCACTCCAACCCAGTTGCTTTATTCCTTCACTTCTGGCTTGCCTCTGCCTTAGGTTGGGGCTGGGGGGTGGTTGTGATATCCAGCTTCACTGACAATGACTAGCCCTAAGCAGATATGGTCAAGAGAGGGACTAGTGGTTTCTATCTGAAATGGGAACTGGAAGGATATCCTAAATGCTTTCATTGTTTTGCATCCTGTATTAGTTACCTACTGCTGCCTAACAGATTACCCTGGAACTCACTGACTTACAACCTTTTCCGTTTCAGTGGGTAAGGAATCTGGCAAGGCTTACCTAAGTCTCTTTGTCTCAAGGTTTCTCACCGGCTGCAGTTAATGTCTCGGATCTGCTTCCAAGGTCAGTGGTTGTCTGCAGGATTCAGCTTCTCAGGTTGTGGGACTGAGGGCCTGGGTTCCCCACTGGCTGCAAGGCCTCTCCATAGGGCTGCTCGCGTGGCAGGTGCTTCCCGAGGGCAAGGGTTCCAGGACAGAGCAGGAGAGGGGGCACCTACAGAAGCTGCAGCCGCTTTGCAACCGACCTCAGAAGTTACATTGTCACTTCTGCCCTAATTTGCTTGTTAGAACTGTCACTAAGGCCAGCTCACACTCCAGGCGAGTGGATAACACAAGTGCCGGAATGCCAGGTGACGGGAATGATTAGGGTTCTTTTAAAAGGTGTTTCTCATACTTAATTACTTTGTATCGTCCTTATTATATACTTATTTGTAATTAATTTTAAGTGGGCTTTTACCAGAATGCTTTATTGGGGCAAAGATTAGATTCTAGTAACCTCACATGCTGATGGATATGTTTGTCTTGTGATAAAATAAGTTGCATTAGATGAAAGAAGGGCCCTAACCCTCCAAACTCATCCCACTTGGGTAATCTAATCTCAAGAGAACCTCTAGTAGGGCCCACTAATTTCCAACACTCACCATGCTTTCCTCTCTACTTAGTAAATCCAAAGAAACCAATGCAGTGCCTGCAGGGCGACTTCTAAGCACACGGCTCAGATCGCAGGCAGCTCGTACTTCTGCACGGTCCAGTTCTGCCAAGTGGACGGCAAGCCTTGTTATTCTATCAAAATGGGCGAAAACTAGATCTGAATTAAGGACAAAAGAGATTATGCTAAGTGAACTCGGGAGGATCTAAAATGAAATTGCTCATCTGTGTGAAGAGCCCTCCTCCCTTCACAAGGAATGGTGCAGTCAGTAACAGAACCCGATACTAACGTAAATTGCTCAGCTCACTTACTTAGTTAAAACTTCCAAACACTTAACATGATGTCATTTTTCTGGCTTTAACTGGCATATTTCTGATAGCTCAAGGACTTGGTGTGGCTTAATATTTGCACAAGGCCTTAAAGACAAATGCATATCACATGTAGTTTTTTAATTCCAACTTTTAAAAACAAGACTTCAGTGACATAAAAACAAACTTCCTCCTCAGTAGGTCTCCAGGTTCCTATATTATCTTTATATAAGTTTATACATATTGTTTTGAAGACTGTGAAAGAGTGGTGTTACCAATGCCTTGCTAACTCCAAAGGCACCAAATTGGTGGGCAAAACACAACTATTCAAGTTTCTCTGGTGTCATAAGGCCTTACCTTTGGAGCAAATATAAGTTCAGATTCCATTATTAATAAATCACCAATTTTCTGTGATACAGTAGTCTAACAGCAAATCGGTTTCCCCTTAAGGCCAAAGTGGCAGACTCTACAGGCTTCAAAAATCAAAGACTGGGCGGTAATCAAGTCATTTGTAACCTGGGCCTGCTCTGGAGCAGGTAATGATTTCCCCGTGGAGACTCAGGGCTAATGCAGAGTTCAGGTGGGGTTGTAATTCCACCGCAGTTGGCTCGCTCTTCTGAGAGAGCTACAAGCTCTCCTAGGACAGCACTTAAGTTTTCCCAAACCCTCAGCATTCTAGGTCCATATATTTAACTCAAGGCTTAGAGGGCCGCCTAGATTGGTCAGTCTGGTGAACATATTGATGAATTCCAACTTAACTTTTTTAGGTTGTTCTTTAAACAGGTTACCTCTGGTCAACACTACAATATGACCTTACTACATACGTCTTAAGTATGGCACAATTAAAACAAATGAACTGGAACAGTTTACATAGTTCAGAGGTGGGGAAGTACTTTCTATGAGTAACATTAAACAATGCCACAAATAAAAATGAAGGGCAAATTAAAAACTGGAAAAGTACATGATGGAAAAATGACAAAAATGCATTACCTTTAATATGTAAAAAATCCTAACCAAATCCTAAAATAGGGGAGCAGACCAAAAGAAAGCTGGGTAATGCAGGCAAATAGCCAAAAAATACAAATGACCAATAAAACCCATGAAACAAGTTTCTGACTTCACTAGTCATCAATATACAAATTAAAACAAGATACTCCCCTTTTTTGGCAATCAAATTGGTTATTAGGAATAAAACAGATGAGATTACAATAGGCCCATTCAAACACTGCTGGTTAGGGCAAAACAGTCCAACGGTTCTCCACTTAAGTTAGGTTACGTTTATTAAAAGCCTTAAAAACGTGCTTCCTCTCTGGCCCAGGTATTCACCCTAAGGAGTGAATCAGACAAGTGTATGCAAACCTGTGTACAGCAGTGTTCATGCCAGCGCCTCAGTCAGCGTTCACAGATCTTTGGCATTTTGCATACACTGCGATTGTAATCTGAGGGAAAAAATACAACGCAAGTATCCTGGGAAAATGCTATCAGATGTAGGGCATAACAATTTTCTTAGAATTTTCCAAAATGTACTTTGTTAACTCTCCCCCACCCCAATTTAAAGGTAGAAGCAAAACTACAAACCCCACAAAATGGCATGCGTTCAGTTGTACAGTTCATCGCCTGCTGAAGTTCAAGAAGAAAACTCAACCAATCCTTTCCTCCATTCTGAAGGCTGGATCAGACTAACTTGGGCAAAAAATGAACAGAAAGCTTCTGGAAACATGTAAGTTATTAAATAATTTGTTTATTGTACTACATTTACAAAGAAAACAGACAATGCACCCAGTAGAAAGAATAAAAATGTATTTGGGGTTTTATTTTTAACCGACAGCAAATAGAAATCCTTTCGTGAGATCAGAGCAATTTGACAGCATTATGATTGAATTCAATACATGTACGGGGGTACTTGGAAGATCAAATTCTACAGCTGCCTCCTTCTACGGCTTCTAATTCATCTGGCTCCTTAAATGATAGGAGGACAAGCCCTTATTTGGTGGGGAAACATTTCCAAAATGAAGTTATAGGTTCTCTCATTAAAATTTCTTGTCATATCAATTGTTAAAGTGGGGCCTTCTATTTGTATGTGTGTGTGTTTTGGTTATTTCACATTACTATCACCAGAACTCTTGTAATTCCACAATTGTGATTTTATAGTGTAGCAAAGAATTCAGTTCTAGTCTGCTATTGCTTTAGATGTACATATCGTTGAAAACCCAAAGTGGATCAGAATTGCTGAAGGATTTTCCCTGCCGTTGTTTGATACAATCTTTTCTCTTTATTCTTGATAGGTGCATAGAGAGCCTCACTTAAAATTCTTTCTACAGGAACATGTCTGATTTCAGGACTACCCAATCAAGGATCCGATGAATGGCTGGCCATAGTTACTCAGGGTAATATGCTTATGAGTTAAATGGATGGCATACTTGCACCACTTTTTCCTTTGCCATTGTTGGTGGACAAATGTCAGAATCTAGATTCCAGTCCCTCGAAGAGAAAGTTGGCTACCCATGGGTCTTATCTGTAGCTTTGCTAGTAGAGCCTCAAGTTGCATCTCCTTGGCTTTCTGTTAATCAGAGTCCTGTAGCTGCTTCCGGAGAATGCGGTAATCCCCAAGGCCCACTTGGTCCATGCTGAACAAGTGGCTGTGACCCCAATTCTGCCCCTTTTTTGCTTTTCAGTATGACCCAAGGAATATGTAATGTCTAGCGCAAGTCTAGGAGAGGCTCATCCTAAAATAAGATTCACAAAGCCGTTTCTCATTAAAAAAAAAAAAAAAGCCTCAAGTAAATCTCAATCATCTCAAAATTGCAGTTAAAAACTTACATTATATAAAGAAATAGCAGCAGAGAATGGCTAATCTTAAACCAACCAAAAAAAAAAAAAAAAAGACCCCTCAAAATAAACAAGAATGAGAAAAAGTGCCATCCCACCCCTCCCCTTGGTTCTTGGATCCTGGGATTTCATTAAAACTTGAAGCCTCTGAGAATATGAGAAAGGCAAAGCCACAGAGGGAAACTGCTTCAAGGCTAAACTTTGGACAAGGTAAAGAGAAAGCTGTAAATAAAAGTAGGGGACTGTTTGGAAAAGAATCAAGAACTCTAGGACATTTTCTTCTCGATGGGAAATCTCTGAAACCCAGATCTCCTTTCCAGGGTCATCCTGAGTTCTTTAGTAATGGGGCAATAAACTCAACTGCAATGAGTAAAGTGCCAGCCGGGGATTAAAAACAAAGAAACTAAACAAACAGCCAATCAAAATAACTCTGCTGTTAGGGTAACAGAAGACACATAGGAAAGGACTGTTTGCAGAACATCTGTGCTTCTGAAGAAATTACTAGTCAATGGTTCCGTTTTTGTTTCCAGCAAAAATCAGACTGAAGATTCAAGGATCTTAGAGTTATTAAAGGATGAAAGGAATTTGACAGTACTTTGAACAGTGATACAATGGTACTCAAATTTGGTATTTATACAACTCATCTAAAAAAGATAGTAGCTTAAAAGTTGTAGGAAAAAATGTGAACATAGGGGACAACAGAAAAAATCCAGGATGATGATGCAGCCTGGACACAGCAAGTTTAATAATGTCTCTGCTGTACACAGAAGTAACACCCTTCCCCTTCTCATCCCTATGCTGGCAATAGAATATGCACTAAAAAATTTGACTCTTAGAGTCAGTGAATAAAAGGATGAGCTCATACATCTTCGTAGCTCTTTTTAAAAAGGATGCTTATAATTTAAAGGATGTCCTAGCAGAAAGACAAGGGTACAAGGCGAGAGGCTGTTTCACATTTTAGTCCATTAGTCTTTGGCAGAGCCCAATCAAGGCCAAATTCACCTAGGATGCCCAGTGGCTGTGGGGGATCTCCACAGGGTCAAGTAAGCAAACCCAAATGAACATGTTGGATTAAAAAAAAAAAAAATCTAGAAACCCCTGAAAGAAGAGCTTCATCCTGAAAAGGGAAGAGGGAGATGCTTGAAGGGGAGGGAGGAGGGTGAGCGTGTGAGCTCTGCTGCAGTGCTGGGCTGGGGCTTAGGAGTTGAGCCAAGGGTGCCGGAGACAATCGGCGGCAGTGGCTCTCTTCTCGGGAATCAGCTCCAACATGGGCAGTAAGAAATCCGTGAAGCCAGCTGCTTCTTCCTGAGACCACTCGTACTTCTCCACCAGAACCTCAAAGAGGCCCCAGGGTTTCAGCTTCGTGATGTGTTTCAGGTCACCTGCGGTAAAGACAGCACAAGACAAACTGACCAACACTGCCGAGTGACGAGGTCCTTCTGTGGAAATCAGGAACTAATCCATGTAGTCTACAAAGAATCAAATTTTGCCATCAGAATCTAATCATTCTCCATTTACAAAGCACCTCTCTTCTTGAATGCGTTCTTTGGAAAGATGTGTCTCCATTTCTCATGGGGGCCTAAAAATTTAAGATCATTTGTTTGCTCCCTCATTCCAGGATTTCTTTGTCCCAGTCAAACTGGGTAGGCCTATCAGGAACTAGGTATTCACTAAAATGAAGATTAAATGCCTCTATACAGAACATGGTCTCATGTGGTGTTCAGAGGCAGTTTATCACCACACATCAAGACCAATTTGCTTGTACTTTTTTTTGGCTCGATAGTCTAGTAAACGTTGCTTCAAAATGAGGCAGCAATTTAAAAATAAAAAGCTAAAACCATGTCAAAATATGTATAAAAGCAACAAAACTAAAAGAACAAACCCTATACAGCTTTCAGATACAGCTGCATCACACTGTACTATTCTCAAACACCAATCTAATTTTTGCTTCTTTGAAGTGACAACTTTTTAAAAAGATAGTCAATTATCAGTGGCTTATTAAAGTAAATGCTGCTTTAACATTTTTCTTATATGACAATTATTTGAAGTCTCTTCTGTAGGCAGTGAATGCCTATTTAATAACCTACTTTGCATACTATACATGCCATTAATCTGACTTTGCACACAAAGAGGAAGACTTAGGAAGCATTTCACCATTTTCCTGCCCAAAAGAGAAATATTAAGAAATGTTTCTGAGGATGCTTGCTGTCAAGTGTTGAGAAAAATGATTTTTCTCAGCATGAGTGTAGAGGTTGAGGAAAAAGGGAAAAAAAGGCCAGATAGTTTTCTAGCCCCTTCTAGGTCAGGTTTTCCCATTCCAGCTTTTAAATTTTAGTTGAAATGCATAAGAAATACATATTTAAACATGGCAACATATATTATCAAGTCAAAAATTTGAGGTGACAGTTTTATCTTTGTTTCCTTCACTAATAAATGATAACGTAAACTTATGAAACTGTACAGGGTAAAGTCAGTTCATATGACTGATGTGTTTAAGCGATGTGTTAGGTGTCACTGGGCTAACAGGATGAGTAAGATGTAGGCCTGCCCTTAAGAAGCTTACACTAAATTACCTGCCCATCAGGAGGCAGTTCTTAGACCAGATGCTAGCAAAAATTTGACCATTTTTTACAAGTGCTGTGGTAGAAATAATTAACCAATAGTGCCAGGTAGTATACACATAAGTAACTAATTTAATATGAAATAAACACTATTATCATCCCCACTTAGAAATCAGTAAACAGAGGCTGTGTCAAAGTCCACATAACTAGTAGAGCAGCGGGATTCCCACCCAGACAGACTGGCTCCAGCCTCTGCTCACAGCCACACTATTTCACCTCTCTGCTAAGGCACGACCCAACATTCAAGGCAGCACATCCTTCTGTAGGTTGGGAACATGTACCCAGCTGTACTTACCTCTTCATTTTTAAACCTTTTGCTCTCTTAATGTCTGGAACAAACCTTTTTGGTGAAAGGTTGATTTTACCTTTTTTGGTGAAAAATTCCTTGGAATATTTTCCTGCCACAATGAGCTTGCGAGGCACCTTCCCCAGGAGTTCTATGATCAGTGCAATGTGATCTGCATGTTTCAAACATTTCAGGGGGAAAAAGACACACATAACAGGAGTAACAAATGCAGTTCTAGACATTGGCAGAAAGAGTAGCATGCACACCTTTTCACAAAGCATTTCAGGCTTGCTTTCTGTCCTAAATGGGAAGAAGAGGACTCTATCCATCTAATGGAGAATCCAGAAAACCACAAAAAATCAGGTGCCCACGCCAGTGGGACTTGAGTGATCATTAAAAAACAATCTTGGTGTGAATGCTCTGCTTCCTGAAGTTGCATCCCTGGGCCTAGATGAAAACTCATGTTAACAATACTACCTCTGCGATTGAAGAAGTCCTGTGAATATTTCCCACTGAGGGCAAAGCGTCTTGGAATTCTGCCTATCAGCTCTATAATGTGCGCAATGTGGTCTAAAATAGAAGGGTAAGAAGAACAGGATCAAGGATAAGCTGCAAAAGAGGTTTTTCTACAAATAGCTTTTTCAAGGACTAGCTGTTTAAAGGTAAGCACAAATAAAACCAAGGAAACTCAAGGGGAGACTGGGAAGGCCAAGAACTATTTCAGGTTGTTGGTTACCTGATAGTAGCTGGCGAGCCAAATTCTGGAGTTTGGAGGGTTATCTACATCTTTATATATCTATATAATTTATATATTTTATATATATATATTATATATATAAAAATTTATATATTTATATGTCTATATATCTAGGTTCAATGAGGTTTGTTAGGTAACGTAAAAAACTGTACCAATATGCTTTAGACATTCTAGAACTGTTATTTATTTATATTACTGCTCTGGGTTTCAAGCATCGATAATATCACTTTATCTAAGAATAAGAATGTTCATGACAATTAAAGCACTCACATAGATTATCTGACTTTACAATCACCCTGTAAAACAGGCCAAAGATTAACACCCCATTTTATTTTATTCTATTTTATTTGTTTTTGAGGAAGATTAGCCCTGAGCTAACATCTGCCGCCAATCCTCCACTTTTTGCTGAGGAAGACTGGCCCTGAGCTAACATCCGTGCCCATCTTTCTCTACTTTATATGTGGGACACCTGCCACAGCATGGCTTGCCAAGCGGTCCGTAGGTCCGCACCCGGGATCTGAACTGGTGAACACCGGGCTGCTGAAGTGGAATGTGTGAACTTAACCACTGTGCCCTGGGGTCGCCCCATTACTACCTCATTTTAAAGATGAGAAAATAAATGGCCTACTTGAAGCTACAGGGCTAATAGGAGCTGGAACTCAAATGAAAACC